TAGAAAGGGCAAATTCACATGTAGAAGAAACTTTAATTACACCTAACCTAACTGCTCCTTGGCGACAAAAAATGAACTGAAAGTTGCTGAAATACTCTACAAAGGACATGCGATGAATATGTTGTTGAGTTATCTTTACATCACTTCTCACTAAATACTTTTAGAAATTAAATATATTAATTTTTGTATAAATGACTTTCACATACAGACAATCTCTTTTACGAATGCAGCATTTTAGCATGACCTTTTCCATATCTAGTACTGATTTATTTAACAGTGAGTAAATGTACCTCTGTGTCATGGTCTACTTCTTGTCATGTCTCTGTGTCTGTCTCCATGTTCTTCTCCCTCTCTGTCATCCTTTATCTTCCCCAGTCTGTTGTGTGTTTCCATGTTTGTATACCCCTGTCTTGGTGTCAAGCCTGTGTGTCCTTGTCTGACTCTTGGTGTGCATGTTACTTCCTGTTTTATTTTGGCAGTCCTTTGTGTCATGTGCATTGTGTTCAGTTTTTGCTTCCCCTGTCTCCTTATGCCTGATTTGTCCTGCGTATGTTTCCATGTGTCTCCACTTAAATCACCCTCATGTGTATATATTGTGTCAGTTACTCCATGTATCCATGTGTCCAGTTCTTAGTGTTTTGTTTAGTTAGTAAAGTGTCCCTTTTTGCCTTTTGTAATCTTGTTGGTTTTTCTCCCAGCCTAAATAAACGGCTTGCTTTTTGTTAAGTCCACTCCTGTCTCTACGCTTCTGCTTTTGAACCCTCTCTCCAACACGATCTGCACACACAGATCATGACACCTCTGTGTGAAGTCCATAACTAATAGCAACCTATTCACCTTCTCACAGCTAACCCCTCTTGAGAAACCTACCTCGTTGCCATGATTTTTCTATAAATTTCTTCACTTTCATATCTCAGTGAGCAGAAAACAGCAAATGCCCTTCACTCAGACTGTCAGTTTTCATGACAGAAGACATGAAAGGTAAAGGTCACGTCGAAATAGGTCTGTGTTTTCTTTGAAAGGTAGGATCACACCTTTAAATGAAGAGGCTGAGGAGTGCAATAGAGTATGTTTTGCAGTCCTTACAAGCTTTTCGTAGTGCTGTAAGTGCTACTGACAGTTTATGTCATGAATTCACAAGGCTTGTGTACACACTTACACACACACACACACATGCACACACACAGTAGATGTGATGAAAATATAAGGTCAGCAAGTGGATGGATGAACAGGTCTTTTCCAATACTTTCACCCACAGTGCCAGGGCAACAACCCTGTAATTTCTCAGTGATGTACAACCTGGAATTGTTCCATTAAGAATGTTTGTGAGACTGACCTTGTAGAGAACCTTGTGTGTTTCTGCCTTTTCATTCAGATAAGCTGCAGTTCCCAGTGGTGATAACAGATATAAAGCTGAAAATTGAGTCTTTCGTTATGCCAGGAAATTCCCTAGCGTGCCTCTATGATCACCTTTTCAATCTTTTCTTTTTCATTCCTACTGGAATTGTATGTCGGTGTCACAGAAAATAAACTATGCATATCCCAAGTCAGTACTAAGCAGAAAAGAAACCATGAATGTTTCTCAACGAGAGCTTTAATCGTGTATTTCTAAACCTGTCTCACAGTAAAGCAGTGCCTATTGCCTTGAAATGAAATGAAAATACCTGACACATAAAGGTAGGTAAAGCTGAATTTTACTTGTACGGTGTCTGGCTTAGCAATGAATGTTCATTCAGATGGAACGAACCGAGTCGGGATCCCTATGAATATAAAATACTGCATGACAACTTTAGTGAGTCCAAGTGACCTGTGTCCACGAATGTATGTCCGACATTTGTAATTTATCCAACACAGCGGACAAAAGTGAGACTTGTTTATCATTCTCTCATTTCCCTGTTTGGCAATTTTCACCCTAGCTTATTGATTTGTGTCTGATTGCTTTCACCTGTGTAAAATCTGTGCTATAGAGTCTTGCCTGTCCTCTTGTCGACTGTCAGATCATTAGTTTGTTAAACACTGCCTGGTAAGCATTAACGAGTTAATTCTGCCACTAAGATGAATCTGTTCCTTGCTTTCTGCTACATGGTCAAAGTTACCTTTGGCTGTTTCCTTTGTTACAAGGGGTCATCACCATGAGTAGCTTTGCATATTTGATTTGGCAATTTTCTTTATGCCAGATGCCCTTACTAAAGCAACCCTCAAGAGATTTGTGTCTCCTCCTGGGATCAAATGAGAGATTTTTGACTTTTATTTAATCAACTAAACTTTTCGTCATATGTGTTTTTCACCATTTGTATAAACAACTTATCAAATTGCTCATTTTCAGCTGGGTTTTTCTGTCTTATTCAACTTGTGTCTTGTGGTATTAGTATAGCCAGTTCCCTTAATATTAGCTATACTGACAAAGACAGAGACACAGAGCTCTCCCTAAACACAGACATTTAGAACTTTCTGTTTGTGACAGGCAGCCAATCACAAGATAGTTGGCTGAGAGTGAGGTTTTCCTAAAAGGGAGACAAGCTCAAACACTTTCTTTCAGACAAAGGATGAACTCAGACTTCAGCTGTTGCCAATAAAAAAAAGTTAAAAAGGATCATGCAGGGAACTACAAATCATTCAATGTGCTATTCAACAAAGACAATAATCATAATAATATGGAGTTAGAATAAAGTATATTGAGTACCCTTTACGTGCCTTCTTTTCTGTAGCGATCGTGGCTCAAGAGTTGGCAGTTCGTCTTGTAATTGGAAGGTTGCCGGTTCGAGCCCCAGATTGGACAGTCTCGGTCGTTGTGTCCTTGGGCAATACACTTTACCCTACTGTTGAGGGGCTGATGGCGCGATATGGCAGCCTCACTTCTGTTAGTCTGCCCCAGGGCAGCTGTGGCTACAACTGTAGCTTGCCTCTACCAGTGTGTGAATATGAGAGTGAATGAATAGTGGAATTGTAAAGCGCTTTGAGGTTCTCAAAAAGCGCTATATAAATGCAATCCATTATTATTCTTTTCAGTTAACTTTTGTTCACACGATTTGTCTAAATTATAACAACAAAAAATGATGTTTCAATCATCCATCCTTTACTATTTATTGCTTTTTTTGTTTTTTATATTTTCTATATTCTTCGAGGTTTTGGTACTTGCAGTATAGATGTAGACAGTATGCCCAGAGAAGGGGGTATGATGTGCCAAGCCATCCATGTTAACGCCACAGCAATAAACTGTAAAATGGGTGTGATGATTTGTGGTATGTGCCGTAGCGTATTGATATAAATATTTGGTGTTGCTAATAGCAACTTCAAGTCAATACACTGAACTTCCATTCAGTTTCAGATTCATAGAAACTGACTCAAAATGTGCATAACACAGGCAGTGTCATGGACAGAGCAAGCCTGGGATTAATTGCTCAAGTCCCACACCATTGTTTTTTTTTTTTTTGCATGCTTTCTTTGTTGATAATAATCCTTTATTACCACAAGATTGGCCACGTTTCTCATTGGCTTTAAGATTGGCTGTCCCTTGCAAATAGAAAATTTAAACAAGTGTTTGGAGATGCAATGCTAACAGCCAGAACTATATGCTTAAAATGACCATGTTAAGGTCATCTGCTTTTGGTGATATCATGCAGATCCAGAAGTACAGAAAATAAGGAAAGACAAAGGTATATTTTAAAGTGCTTTGGTGGGTTTCAGTTTTTTAAACACAAATAACTGACGCCACCTCTCATACAGTTTAGTTGTCTTGAATTATTAATTTCCCAGCAGCTCTAAAGAAAGCAAGTACATGAAATATGTTTTTGGCTGGAAAGAAGAGCTCCGTTCAAAATATTTTGGGTGTCTCGCATACGGTCAAAGATTTTTCTCCATTGAAAGAGCTGAAAGCTTGTTTATTTGTATGCAATCCTGAGGGGCTTGCACCCTCCTCTGTCACAGTCTATCTGTGTCACACACACACACACCTGTCTTCCTGAGTCAGATCTGTAGCTATGAATAATGGAAGAGTGGGCTGAGGTCAGACTGTTCAAGTGCAGGGGAAAGAGGGGAGACTCTTGCTTAAGCATCCCAGTCATATTTAATAAGTCAGAGAACAAACTCATTTTCCAAAAACTAGGCCAAATCACGCAACAATACGATATCGCCTTAGACTGCCACTTGTAACATCTGGGTGACTATAAATGTAAGAAAGTTACCTCCATTATAAAGTTACAGTTCGTGGTTCAAATACACACCCAGTCAGCTGGGAGAACAAGTTCTGGGGAGATTTAAGGTCACTGTCTCCTCGTGTAATTACTAATGATGACGATGGTGATGATAATATGCCCTTGTGCAGAGCTCATCTGATGAGGACTGACACAGCACCTCACCATTTTTTCTTGGGGGGTGGGGGGGTCTCTAGGGTTGATGCTAAACCATGGCATCAACCCATCCATCCATCCAGCTATCCTTTTCCTCCTGCTTATCTAGGGTTTGGTCGAGGTGGCAACACCCTAAGCAGCTATCAGACATCCCTCTATATTATATCAAGTGATTTTATTTTACTAACTTATTATAGTCTATGTACAGTGTCTTAAATTGTAAATTGTATCTGTTGCATTATTATGTAGGCAAATTGGAAAGCAAAAAATGAACCCTTTTAGAAACTGTTTCTCAGCCATTGTTGCTCAACGCTAATTCCACCACATTGTTGAACAAAGACTACTGCTGTTCTGCAGAGACCGTCATGTGTGCCTTTGTGACAAAAAATGGATGTCTGCTGCCACTTAGTGTATATACTGTGTCATTACAACCAATAACACATTCTAGTGCACACTGAAGCTGTTGGGTGCAGTTTACAGTGCTAGATTACCATCTAGCGGACACTATGGGTACCAGACATCTATTTTTATTATTATTATCATTACTACTACTAATCATTTTACCATATTTATATATATATCAATTTAACACTTTATTCTACCTGTTCAGCATGTGTGGGTGTCGCAAAAAAGGACGTAGAAATAGTGGTATTCAATTTTTTCTTTATTCTGATCATCATTACAGAACATACAATAATCAACAAAGTGCATGTGACACATAAAACAGCTCAATATTCATGGAGTGACATTGTGCATTTTGTTGCATGTATAATTACTTTTACATTTATACAAACAAAGATGTTCAAATCATACACGCTACCTTAACCTGTTTATTGCTTATACTCCTCAAGTTGGACAAGTTGCATCTAGAGCATTACAGTTTCCAGTAGTTATTACAGGCTGCAAACCATGTTGTAGGGAGGTAAAAGTTTGTTGCCCGGGCTTGTCTCTACAATAGAAAGATACAATATGAATGTTTCATTGAGCTTTATCAATAAATCATAGTTAAAGACAGACTGGAAACCAAGAACGAACTGTTGGATAGTATTCATGAATCTGAGTGTGCGCCTTCATGAAGGTGTGCTGAGGTACATCTGCAAAGCAGGGGTGAAGATAAGGATAGTTCCCAGGATTGACACTGTTAGGAAGGCCCACAGGAAAATTCTGTCCAGCACCTGAGCCACAAATTTCCAGTCTTGTACAACCTGATGAAACAAAGAGAGACACAGAAACACAAAAGTACACAGGTGTGAGTCTGTGTTGGCGCCAAACATTTTTTTCACAGTAAAACATCCCTCATTAGGGACATGTAAATGACTCTGTGCCACTTCTGTAACAGTAAACAGATGATGTAACACGCATCCAACCCAATTCGTCCCACATCTAGTCTCCCGTTTGGCCACGCCCACCTCTCTTATAAAGTGCTCCTTTTTGATATGACGGCTGATGTAGCGAACGGAATTTGTGGCTTTCTCCAGCATTGCCAACCAAGCTTGGTTTTCATCCTCCTTCCCTCCATGGGGGCCTCTCTGCTGACCGCCACAGTGCCCAGGAACGCCCCTCCTACCCGCACCTCGACGGGGCTTCAGCTCTGGGCTTCGCATCTCAATGTCTGGGAAGTGGTATCTGCAGATAATGACACTAAATCTGTTATTTTATTTCTTTTATTTTTCATGTGTAGCTGCTAACTGAAACTGTTAGGCTTCGAAGGTTAGTTGGAAATTTTATAACTAACTCTCTTAACTAATATTTGTTTAACTAAAGCTGATCTTTGTTACCTGTCTGTGTGTCCCCTCATGCAAAGGAGTCTGGGCAGTCTCTGAAGAAAGAGGCTCTTTACCCAGGGTGCCATGGGGTGATAGGTGGCAGAGGAGCGATGGTGGACGTTAATCACAAAGACAGTGACAATAATGGAGAATGTGACAAAGATCATGATGAAGAGCAGGTACTCTCCAATTAGTGGGATCACCTGTAAATGTAAAGATGAGACAGGTATTCAGCTGTGTACAAACATCAGTAATACTTCCATCCATCCAGCTATCTTTTTTCTTCCACTTATCTGGGGCTCTGTCAAGGTGGCAACAGCCTAAGCAGATACCAGACCTCCCTCTCCCGAACCACCTCCTCCAGCTACCTCCTCCAGCTTATCCAGGGGAGCACCAAAGTATATCCTGGGTCTACCCTGGGTCCGTCCCCAGTAGGACATGCCCAGCTGTAAATGTCATTCTTTCGATCACTAACCAAAGCTTGTGACCATAGGTGAGGGTGTGGACGCAGGTCGACCAGTAAATCAAGAGCGCCCCTAAACTATCTTTTCACCACTTTGGACTGGTGCAGCATCCATATAACTGCAGCAGTGGCCCCAATCTGTCCGTCACTTCCCCATTATCATTACTCATGAACAAGACTGTAGGATAGTTCCTCCACTCACTAATCAGCAAAATTTGGAATATTAGCTAAATTTAAAGAAAAATTTATGTCATGTAGTAGTGGTTTAAGAGACCTGAGGTTGTTTCACTGGCTTTTTAGGATGCACTGTAAATAAATTCTTTTGATTCCTTGTGGTAGAATTTACTTTTTCTCATGTACTCTGCAGAAGATTACAAGTCTTTTGTGCATTATGTTTGAAAAGACCTCTGCTCAGGCTCGTGGCTACTAAATGACTGGAATTACGTGACATCATATAACTCAGTGTACCTCCTAGACTCCAAGATATATAAGTCGTTTCACCTTAGCAACTCTATCAGGAGATTCAAGGAGCTGTTAATGAAGCAGAGACTGTACCCACCCACATGTTTCAGAGAAGAGCTATAGTTTAACACTGTAAGATGCCAGTGTAGATGTTTAAAATACAATTTCATGCCTTTTTTTTCTTTTTTTGCTGTCATGGATGAAATTTGTTTATATTTAACAAAAATTGCTTAAAAAAATATTTAATGATGAACAAAGTGCATTTCTGATGTGTTTCAAAGCTTGTTAAATATAGATTTTATTCATTTGCAAAAAAATACTAATTAGTCTAATACATTTAAAAAGCATGGTACACATTTTAAGAACTTTTATAGCATTTCTACTTACTTCTTGTTTAAACTATCCTCTGTAATAACATATTAACCCTGAATAAAACATTCAGGCAACATTATAATAGTCTATGAAATATGCCTCGTAGTGGGCTACAGACTGAAAAGTCATTGATTCTGTCATTGCCTTTGAAAGTAGTTTTTTCTGAAGGCTTTTTTGTTTTTCTCTGCTGCTTGGTTAATAGAGCTGACATGCAGTTCAAACAGCAGGTAATTGAGAAGGTTGGGGTTGTGCTCCATTTTAATTAGAGCATGCTGTAATTAAGATTGTAGTTAGGATAACTGAACACAGAAGAAAGAAAAATGGATTCAAAAATAAATAAATAATAATCATAAAATAGCCCAGTAAAAACTTGACTATGGAGAAACACTGACATAGATTACCCACCTTTGAGGATGAAGGGATAATTTCTTCTATGACCAGCAGGAACACAGTGAGCGATACCAGCACCGATGTTGAAAGTGAAAGTTTCTCTCCTTCGTCTGATGGCAAATAGAATACCAGCACAGTAAGGAAGGACAGGCCAAGGCAGGGGATGATGAGGAAGAGGGTGTAGAACAAGGGCAACCTTTTAAGGATGAAGGAGTATGTGACAAATGGATACCAGTAAACCCCATCCCTCCTACTTCCCTTTACTCCAGTGGCATTGAGGATCTCCCATTCGCCATTATCAAAGAAGTCTTTACGATCCACGTAGTGGTCCACCAGGACAAGATCCACCATATTTCCATCATAAGTCCAGGAACCGAACTTCATGGAGCAGTTCTGTCGGTCAAAGGGGAAGAAGGTGACATCCATGGTGCAGGACGACTTATAGCTGGCGGGTGGAGTCCATGTTATGGTGCCATCCCAGCGCACAATGGCTTTAGTCATCAGTGAACCTTCAAAGCGACCATCAGCACTGGGAGAAAATGGAAAGAAATGGAAAAGAGAGAGGAAAAAAGGCTGAAGTCACAAAAGTGAGGCAAGGGAGGCAAAAAACAAAGCCACTGAGCAATGCCTCAGAATGTGGTACCAATGTGTGTAGAGTGTTGTGCAACTCACTTTTCATACAGAACAATATCAGGCAGCCATATTGTCTCCGAAGGCACTCTGATAGAGGTAATGCCCCCATAATCATCAGGGTTCCACTTCAGCTTCACATCAACCCACTCCTATAAAAACACAAACAATACCACAATGACCCACTGATACATTAAGCCTACAAGCTAAGTGCATGCAGTTTCTGCACACATGGTACTGTCCATGGTACCATCCATGCGCAGCACCATGGACAGCACCAGGCTGCTCGCTCAGCAGGAATGGAACGGACACTAGAATATGTTTTCCACCAGTATACTTCTCCTTATTTTTAAGGAGAAGTATACTGGTGATTTTACTTGCAAATACAATCTAAGATTATTTATTTTTTGCCCTTGTCATTGTGGTTTAAAAAAAACGACTTTCTATTTCTATCAAGAGCTCACTCGCAGAATTTTTACTAAATAATTTATAATTAGAATAATTAACACTAAAGAAACTGTACAATGCGGCAGATATAAAGTAATGTTTACAATCAGGTGTAAACAGTAATAAGAATGGGACCAATTCTTAATACTTTTTTGCTGTTCTTTTGCTGATCTGACGTCTGATATCTCTTGTAGAAAGTAACACTAGTGTGAGACATTTTAAAGGATGGATTGGGAATCATTAAAAGGTTATTACTGAAAGGCTGAAAATAAAAAAAAGGCAAAAGCAGTATGTAAAGGTTAAAGCTACCCCCATCTATTATATATCTATGCATGTTTATTATCTTTATCTATTATACATCTTGTGTCAGCCTATTGACCAAGGCCAGAGATGTATTGTTCCGTGAGTCCGACACAGGTTTCAGAAGATCATCTCTTGCTGTAGTGCAGTCATTCAGGATCCAGCCTCCTCTTAAATGGACTTTGAACCTCTCCAAATGTAATGAAATATACAAAAGCAAAATTTAACAGTGTGTTAAAGATGGGCACATTTCTTGTCTCTCCTCACAATGTGCCTCTGGAAATATGCGTAAATGGAAAATGTTTTATTGAGATTCATGTGCTCAAGTTTTATTGTCTTTTAAAAATAATAATAATAAATCGATAATTACTCCATAATAATCATTATTTTATATATACACAATGGTACATTTATACCTTTATTTAATCATGTAGTCTCATTCATTTATATCTTCTTGTCCATGGACACCAAAAAAAACCCTTATCAAAATGTGAATAATAACAGTAAAAATTAGCTTACTGAAAATTAAAGATCCTGTAATTTGTAAGCGGTAGAGCTAGTATTCACCTGCCAGAGCCAAACATTTGTAGTCATTAGCTGGTTCTTTTCATCCTGCAAGACAAAAAAAGAATAAAATACCAAGTTCATTATTTATAAATCTACTTACTTGAAATGATAAGTGAAGCTAATGAGGAGGTGAGCAGCAAACCCAAAGCTGGAGACAAAAAGCTGAGTGGCATTAAAGAAAGGACATAAGCCTAAAAAGGTTGATGGGTTAATTGCTTCTTCAGCTTCCTACTTAATAAGTGCAGTGGAACAGCTTTTGGGGTCTCGCACATATTTTAGAGTTTCTCACTTTTGAGTACAAACAATATTAGACAAAAAAAAAAGAGATAGGTTACTCCAAATGACACTTTCACTTGGAAAATAGTATATAATAATGACATGGTTTACTATTGCTGTGATCTTACTCCTATCTTGTGCTATACAAAATAATGAAACCCACTGTATAAAAACACATTTGAGAGGGTGGTAGAGGATTACCAGGAGAAGGTCAAAGACAGAATGCGTTCCATGTGGAGTTTGAGAGCAGAAAAAGTATAAAGTATTAAGAAAGATGAAAATCTATGAAATCGATTTTGTCTACTCTCGTGAGCTTGTGAGGCATACCTGACTGCAACATTTAATTAATTTGGTATAATTATTTGCAGTTTAGACAGAAAACCAGAAGATGGCACTCTTCTAAATGTTATCTTTTCAGGGAGAAGTACAAATGTGAAATGCTGATGTAGTAAAACTGTAGCCCTCTTTAGACTTGGGACAAGCAGCTTTGTGAGCGCATACTTGTGTGAATAATAAATGAAATCTGATTCCTCTCAGCTTGATGGCCTCATTACTTCCTCTCCCACTGCATGTACAAGTCCACTTTGGACTTCACTTTTAGTCTTTCTTCTTCTCTCTTTGTTGTTACTCTCTCTTCCTTTTGAGGTCCTTTAAATCCCTCTCGACACCCTTCTCCTTGTTTATCCTCACTGAAGGCTTCATCTCTACAATAGTTTGTTTTTTACCTCCATATATAACATTTACACCTATTGTAAGCTCCATCTGTCTATTGCCTTGCTTACCTATCTTCTAGTTCTCCTGCTGCTGTCTCTCCTCTTTTCTTATTTCCACACACTCCTCTCTTGTTCCTGTGAATAACCCATTTCTCCTCAGATGATTATAACAGGATTGTATTAACCATATTACATATTAATCTATGTTAATTTATGCAGAGTCACAGACACAGCTGTGTATTCACCTGAATCTACTTTGCTCAAGAATTTGATCAATACCAACTGACAAAATTACCCAAATCCTTGTAATTGTGACCTAATATTATATAAAAATATTGGGTAGAGTAAGCAGTGTCAACAAGCAGAGGCAATGTATAGAGCAATTTAACTAACTTGGCATTACTATACACACTGTATAGTGGATGTGCATGTTATTTCCTCACCACATCAACCAGCTGTGAGATCTTTAGTCCAAAGCGTACAGTGATGGTGTCATTGGCGTGCTGAACAGGCCGCACCCACTTCTGGTAACCTCTGAAAAGGTTCCTCAGCAGAGAATCCTCCAACTCTGCCAGCGACACAAAATCTTCCTGGACTGGAAGGAGGGGAAGAAGGTAGTAGGGATAAGGCCAGAAAGGAAAAATGTAAGACTGTTGTATGTCGTAAAAAGCAGGAGCAGCTGCCACACACTTGTAAAGGAATAGATGTGCTTCTGGAATCAATGCAGATGACTACACACATCACATAATTACTCATATTTCACACAGACTGTACCTGAACTTAACATTTGACCCCCCCCCCCCCTTTTGATGTGTGTAAGTACAATGATTAAACTCAGCTCTTTATTTACCTAAATTAAGGTCATTTACACTCAGTGATTTCACATTCTTTTGACCATTGTGGCTTTCAATGCTGCTCTTCTAACATGCTGTTTCATTACTGTGCAGCTGTGCAAACCTTTTACTGTATAAGACACCGCCACACTAGCAGCTTAGTAAGGCTCAAAATGATGGTGGTAATATGATGATATTTAACAGGTTTCATTTTTACAGTGTTCACATTTACATACTAACACGTCATAGCAAGTTTAGCACTTGGAATCATTTCCAGATATTTTATTTCCTTAATTGTCAAGTTACTTTTGAGCCTCTGAAAATAGAGGCCTGTGTGTAAAAATGGCTGTCATGGGCTAGCAAGTTAATTTAACACTTGTGTGAGACCCTCTGAATTAATCCACTGTGGTGGCAAAATTATATATAAAAATGTCAAAGGCCCAAACTTTGTTGACCTCATTGTACATCATAAAGTGCATTACTTAAAAGTAAAACTAGTTGAATCTCTAAACAGATGGCTACTTACCTCATATACACTCAACATTCATGTGCAAAACAGATCTGCACATAACTGTCACACTTTTCCAAGTTTTACATGTTTAAGTTATGCATGAACGAGCTCTACCACATGTCTCCGGAGTCTCAAAAATAAGTGGGATAAAAAATTAAGTCAAGGCCTTAGAGTCAGGCATGAACACACAGTCAGCCTCGGACTGACAGCTGGTCATGGCCGAGCGAATGCATCTAAGCTCCCAAGGCTGACAAGATGATCATACTGACATGATCACCTCAGACAGAACAATCGCCAGGGGAAACAAAAAGAGCTCAGAGCGCTTTGTGCAGTCAGGCACAAGACATAATAGTCAGTTAAAGAGTGACGCTCATGCTGAACAGGAAACAGTGCAATGAAGGAACAGTGCATTCATTTCAACAAGCCGGGAGATTTTTTTTTTTTTTTTAGGTAAACAGTTATAGAGGAGAACATGCAAGATTATGATGTGAATTTCAGTTTAGTTCATCTTTGCTAAAATATACATGTATGAGTTTGAAACCTAGACTGAGTAGAAAAAAACTACTCTTTGTGTGTAACTAAGATGCAAATGACAGCAGCATTCGTTGGACGCTCAGAGCATTATGTGGTATTTGTACTTGAGAGTCACACAAGAGCCTCCCACAGTAACTCTGTGGCTTTATCAGCTCAAAGCTTGGAGCAATTGTCTGCATAAGAGCCCGATATTTGGCACAGCCTATGGTAGTGTTGCAACAGAAGCTGATAGACAGAAAAGAGAAGTTTGAATCAACAGCCTCTAAAATGAGAGGAATGCTGCAGAGGAGTGGAGAGTGCTGATAAGAGAAAGAGTGAGACAGAGTGACCCAAAGCAATTCCCTCTAGAATATAAGAGAGACAGAAACAGGGGGAAGGGGAGAGGTTGCTACAGAAGGGTACACTAACTGGGGCAAGGGGAATGAGAACAGGCAGAAAAAAAGATAGAAGTGAGAAAACAAACTCCCACTTCCACTTGCATCTTAATGCAGCGACATTGCTCTCTGCTAAGCAATGCAATCTTCTTTTCGTCCTACATTTTGGTATACAGTCGTGATATAATATTTTAGCTGGAGAGGGAGATAAGAAGGGCATCCCTATTTATATAATTATTAATAAATAATATAGGAAACTAGGTTTATTTTAGATTGCATTTAAAATGTAATCTGCAATAATTTATTCTGTTTTTGGCTTTTTGGGAGGGCTATGGTAAATAATGATCTAGTGGCCACAATAATTCGAGCCAAAATGACTTAGCAAGCAAGAACAGCCTTGTAATGAAAGATGACTAGAGACCTGACAGTTGCAATAACAAAAGTTCAGAAGTCCTGAAGTGAAGAGAAAACCTGCCAGAACGACAACGCTTTCAACAGCTCAAGCTTTTATGGTAGAATGCCTAGACAGAAGTCACTTGAGTAAAAGAGACTTGTGAGACTGTCAACTCTTTTTATTTTATTTGGTCTTACAAACTTGGTTTCTAACCAGATACTTACTCTAGATTTCATTACATTGGCCTCTAGTAATTCTCTGCAGAATCTTGGAGTCCATTTTGACCGGGACATGTCCTTCAACATGCATATTAAGCTAATATGTAGGACTGCTTTCTTGCATTTGTGCAATATCTATAAAAGACACAGACTGAGTGGGTCTGAAAGACAAACGGAACTATTTCAGCAGAACTCCAAGCTCCAAGCTCACTCCATGCTTTATTGACTCCCTTGTTGATTCCTTATCAATCATCTCTGAGCCAGAACACAATAAAGAAAATGAGGAAAATGAAAGGCTTGTATATGACTATGCATGCTGGCACTGGTAAAAATAATAAAAGCTTGGAGTCATATCATTCAGATTAATTAGAAAATCTGGAAATGGTTTTCTACTCCCATCCCTACTCATTATCTGGTGGGTACAATCCATGCAATGAACTGTACTGTAGGAATGTGTCTCTGTGTCACGGACAGAGAAATGGGTGAAAGAATAGCAATGATTGCAGCCAAATGCAGAGAGGTCCTTGAAGAAGTTCTGAAATGTAAATACCTCATGAAGTGGTGATGCTGAAACTTAAAGCATGACAGTGAAGTGAAGCATCCAGCTAGGTCAACACTTGCATGGCTTCAGGACAGGTTTCTCATCATTAACCCTACCAAGAGTCTAAACCTAACCCTATGCAATATTTGTAGAAAGACTAAAAGATGAGAGTTTACAGATGCTTCCCATTTAATATAATGGTGCCTGAGAAGAACACCTTGGAAGTATTTCAATAAATTGCCCCAGTTCAGACATGTCCTGTAGAGACTTACCTGTACAGACTCAAAGCTGCCATTGAATCTATAATGATATGAATGAACATTCTGAATGTTTGTACATATAACAGATATGAATTTGCTTTTTTTTAAAAAAAAAGTTATGCAAACATTTGATAGTTATTGGTCATCAATTGAGGGAAAAAACATGCAAAGGACAAAAAAATACAGTGTGGGTAAAATGTGAAGGGTGTGTGTGCGTGCATGCATGTGTGTGTGTGTGTGTGTGTGTGTGTGTGTGTGTGTGTGCATGGACACAAATATACCGTGTATTTTTTTCATTTTTAGATTCCTCTTGTTCTCTGTTGGGTGTGCAGCCATAAGTTAAAGCACATGCTGTGTTCATACGCAGACAGATTACCTACTATTGCATCAGATCTGCTCTCAGTTTGTAAAGACTTGAAATGGGGCAACAACACACTCAGCTGAATCCATCTATCTCCCATCACAACAGGAAGCAGCCCATCTCGAGATTCTCATCAACAAAAACCCAGGAGCCCCTGTAGTCAAACACCACAGGGATGGATTCCTCTACAAGGGCCAACGCCCTCCCTCAGAGAGACGCTTACTGACCCTGCACTATGTGAGTGTGTGCATATTTGACTGAGCAAAGGTAAAGAGGAAAGTATTGATCAGAACACACACACTGTGATGGTTGGAAGGATGCGGTTGCTTCTCTGTGGGGAAATTATAATGCATTAGGTCGAATGTGTGTGTGTGTGTGTCTGAGAGAGTAAAAGAGATTTGTTGATGATTGATAGAGACAAAGGAGTGACCCAGCATGCAAACATGCAGCCTGCCTCCTCCTCAATTTGAAGCACCCCATGGGTGACAACTGGTATGATCACCTTGACGTGACTACCATCTGTTCACATAGAGCGACAGCAGGATGCACCACTGCGAGGGGTAATATGAGAGAAGGAAACTGGAGGGGAACACCTTTTTTGGTCACACACCAGTGCATATAAACAACACTTTAACTTTATATTCTAACTCCACTGTCACTGTTTCAGTCTCAGCAAGTTGACAGAGGTTTTGATGTTTATTGGTCTGTCTGTGTGTCAACAGAATTATGCAAAAACAGTCAAGCTGAACCTCCTAACATTCACCAGGTCACTCATGACATATATGGTAATCACTAGGATTTTCGGGGGGGGGGGGTTTAATTCACATACTAAAGAATCATATTTAAAGAAACTACAGGTTGTATCATTTAACCACTAGGGGAATAATGAAGTATTATCTTTTCATTGTTATAATAATGGAAAAGTAGGAAGCGAGCTTTGAATGCTGAGGGGTAATTTCAGCATTTCCCCTCATCCATGAAAAGTGATTTAAGTGACTCTAAATGTGGCATGGCTGTTGGTGCCAGACAGGCAGGTCTGAGTAGTTCAGAAACTGCTGATCTACAGGGAAGGTTTACAGAGGATGGTATGAAAAAGATCAAATATCCCGTGAGCAGCAGTTCTCGGAGTAAAACTGCCAAGCTGACAGGAAAGCAACAGTAACTCAACTAACCATTCATTACAACCAAAGTATGCAAAGAGCATCTTATAATATACTTTCTTGGCACACTTTGAGCATCATTTAAACACTATGTCCTTCCTAAACATTGTTGCTGACTGCATTCATACCTCTATCGCCACAGTGTACCCATTTTCTGATGGTTTCTTCCAGCAGGATAATGTGCCACGTCACAAAGTTCATACATCGGATCTCATTCCACCTTTGTTATATAATGGAATGGGAGATTCACATTTTTGATGCGCAACTGACATATCTGCAGCATGTAATAGATGCTATAATGTCAGTATGAGCCAAAATCTCTGAAGAAAGCTTCCAGCACCTTGTTCGTCTAAACCATGAAGTATTAAGGCAAAAGGTCAAGGCCACTGAGATGAAGTGGATTTACACAGGCATGTGCACAAACACACAAACAGATAAACAACTTTAGATTGTTAATTTGTGTCTGCGTGTTAAAGTAATGTCTGCCCACGCTCACACACACACATGACAGCGGGAAGAAGAGACAGCAGTTTGATCGTGGACTTCTGTTCTGCCATCTCTGTGTCACAGTATTTTGCTCAATATATTTCATATCAAATTCTATGAGGCATAGCCCGCTCACGGCTTTATTATGTAAGGGAATTCTTCTCTCCCATTGCTGTGAATATGTATTGTATTTATACCGTCCCTTATTGTTCTACTGTAGTGTTATAAAGCCCATTCTTAGTCACACATCCCAAGGGGGGGCGCTGTGAACTCACTCTTTAATAAATCATAAACATGCTCTTTCACCTGACCCCATCGTTTTGTCCTGCGCCCTGATTAAAAACTATAATCATATTTAAACTACATAGCATGATCGCCTCTTTGTCACTGGGCAGAGCCGTGGCACGTTAGCCAATTAGTGTGAATATTGAGGATATAACGTGTTTCGATTTAACTAGACGCAATTCTCCTGCTCAATCTTCTGTCAGTTTGAGCTTTTGTTTTGTACAAATTAGATTTTCTGTCCTGACAGTTGTGCAGCTTCAGCAGTTTAAAGACGAGTGTTTCCAGATTCTTACCTTGCATCGTAGCTTTCCCAAGAGCCACGCAGAACCACAACACCGCAACCGCAAACTTCATCTTTCCTCCTGTCATCAACGAGACCGAGTGGATATTTCCACAGCGAAGATCAAATTATCTGACTGTTCATCCCTGCATGCATCTCAGCAGCCAAGTGGGACCTCCGGAGTGTCACCGCCGTGATGTGCAGTTTAAATAATGAAGGACGGTCGGTTGTTGGTGGCTTTGTACAACACGCACCGCCTTCACGCTGCGAAACACCACCTTGTGTCGAATATATGTGTGTGTGTGTGTGTGTGTGTGTGTGTGTATTTTTGTTTAGTTTTTTTCCTTGTCTTGGTTCTGTCGCCTGTTGGGTTTCTCTGCACCTTCTTTTCGTGCGTGTCCCGTCGCAGAGATGGATCCTGCCCGAGCCGAGATGGGCTGAGGGCGGGACAGAAGAGGGCTGGCTTGTCATACTGTGGGATGTAGGGGGGAGGACAGATCTGGTCCCCAATCAGAGAAAAAAATAAAGAAATAAAAAATAAAATACATTTCTGTGTGAGCAGTACTAGCCTCTATGATTAGGAAATTACATGCATGGTCTTATTATTAATGTTAAATATTCCAAAGAAGTGCAGCTCAGTGCAAATCGACACTCGTCAAATACGAATGATGCCAAAAAAAAAGCATGATGAAAAAGAAGATTAAACTTGGCTGTGTTGTCTCTAGTTCAGAGTTACAGGTTGTTACATGTTTTATTCAGTGATGAGTGTGGTGGGGAGATGCTCGCTTGAATCTGTTACCCCACCACAAAGTGATGGCATGCTGCACGGACTGCACTTCATCGTCACTTACACGAATATTGCAAGTGTAAGAAAGAGCGGTGGTTTGCATAGTCAACAAGTAAGGTAACTCTAAAAACGTTATATAAACCACAAAACTTGAAATAAATACCAAGTAGGTTGTTCCAGAGCTGAATTTCTAGTACATAAAATCCTGTTTGAGTTTTAACAGACAGTGTTTGCTTGCTAAGCCATGACAGGAATAGTACAACAAAGAAGGAATTTAATAATGAGAAGACTAACTTTAAAAGATGCACGCTAAGATACACACCAGCTGAAGCGACCCACTTTTCTTTTTACCTTTCCTCAACCCTTCTGAAGTTCCATGTTCACACAAGGACCAAATAATTGTGATGGACTGCAGTACTTATTGCTTTACTTGCAATAGTGCTGATGTGGTGAAGCACTTTGGTTTATGATTAATGGCTTAAGATAATCTTTTAGGAAGCAGTGACCTGTAAGTTTCCAAGAAGCGCATTACACAGTTTTATAGGTAGTGCATTATCATTACTCATCAGAGAGCGGAACTGATGCTTCATTCATTCGACTAGACAGAAAAAGACACTTACGCTATGCAAGCCATGTTATGTCCATATACATATGCATGCCGTGCTCCGATCTTTTTGGCTGGGTGTGGTTGTATAACACAAAGAAACGGAATCAGTCATAATAATATAAATACACTGAGCAGGGGATGATAAAAGCATCCAGTGACTGGAACTATGCTGTAGACTCTGGCACATCACTTCCTGAAACTAAATCTGATTAGAGGTTATAATGTATGTGGGCATCGTAGACCTTGATTAGAGCCTGAATCCACAAGGCTGAAGATACTCACGCAATTATTTTTATGTATTTTTTTATTCCAAAGCTATCACCTTTCACTTATAAAAGGTAAAGTAGGAGAAGAGCACTTACTGCAGCACAATCTATCTAATTACTTGCAGTACAAGCTGAGCAGATGCGATGATCTAACTATCGATTTTTAAAATGTTCCATGCAGTATTTGGATACTGAGAAATATCTATCGCCTTTAGTTATAATCATATCACTACCAGTTGTCAGCAGTGTAACAGACAGAGAATTTGACCAATTGACAATGACCAGGCTTCCCAATCGGTCAAGCAACTTTACCCTTCTCATATGTAATATAAAATGCATCGTGTCACTGTTTAAAAGACAACTAGTAGAGAACAAATAGAGTGTGAAGAATGGGGTTGATTTATTGAGGCACAACAGGCCAGCAGCCAGCCCATCTGACACAGAGCAGACAGTTCAGATTCATTTGCTTTGTGTCATTTATGCAGGCAATCTAATGAGCAGTTGGTTGACTCGTAAACAACTCATGGCGATTTAGTGAAGAAGATGGAATCCCACTCTCTCTGCTAATTAAGTTTGAGCTAACAGCAGCTGGAAGAAGAACTGTAAGGTGAATCATCCTGCACCTACACACAAACACACATGCAGGTCACATGCTTGAAAATCTGCCACTCGGCTGCTTTTGTTGGCTTTGTGTGTCTCATTAAATGCCATCTTATGCCAGCACCTGATCACTGCTCTGGTATTGCCAAGATTTGCCCAGGGGGACAGCCCAGCCTATCTGTCTCAAACACACATAGACAAACACATTCCTGTCAAGTAAGGAAAACCTTCATGTTTATCTAACACACAAACAACCTATGCCTCTTCTGTGTCGATGTAAACAAACTGAAAGTGGATGCTTTTAGAGTCTTGTTATCCAACGATGGTTGTAAATGTAGATTCTGGATGGACTTAAAATTGCAGACTACTTCAGTAATTAGTCTCATTCACTCCCAATCCAAGTTAATTAAGAAAATGAGTTCACATTAAGGTCATGAGTGCTGAGGGAAGGTCGGTAGAGCAGTTTGTGCCTTAATTATACAAGAAATTATCAAAATTCTTGAGGATCTGGAATACACAGATGAGTCCACAATTTTTTTCTCTTCTTTTTTTTCTCTGTCGCTTAATATCAGCTTTATATCTGTTATTTCTATCTTCCCCTCTTTTGATGAGTAAATGAATGGTTGACTGTAGCAGAAAATCCATCACATTAAATGATGGTATTCATCCCTGACTGCAATGCATTAAGTACATGTTTGAATGAGTATATCACTTTATGTTGCTTGACTGCTAAGTCACCGTGGAATCAGTGCTGCCCTTTAAGCCAGAGGTAATAGACCAAAACTTAATGCACGGCACGTATACCTGACTACTCACACTTACAGGCAAATTCGCTAACAAATATCAATCCTCTTTATCAAACTGGAGTCATTTTCACATTCATTTAGCAGCTTCGCTTTGGTGTGTGTTCAGTGACCTTTTCACTCCAAACAGCAAGAGAGTTAAAAAAAAGAACATTTGCCCCTGGCTGTGTACCCATGAGTTTCTTTCTTTATCTTTACATCGACAAAAAAAAAAAGAAAAGAAAAAAAAAGCTCCTTCTAGAGTTTTGGGGGCAAATATTGAATTTGCCCAAGAATTAAATTACCTTAGAGTATGTTTTAGCTATAAGCTATTCTTTTTAGAGTTATTCCACATCATTAGCTAGCTTAATATCTGACCAAACAGGTTATAACCAGATTCATTGCACCTAAGCAAACTGGATCAATAAAACTAGAAATCTCTGTATGTCTCCTTTTTATATGTATTTTTTTCTATTTATTTATGCTTTTTTGTTTTATGGTAACTAATGTTTCATTCAATGTACATAAAACACAAAAGTCACATAATGAAGTCACTAAAGAGTGTGACAAATGAAATGGTTTTCAAATAGGCTTCCAAAGACCGTGACATCTCCTTTGTTGATGCCAGCATGCCTCCGACTCATAGTAGCACTAGTATAGAAAAATCTGACCTAATGATGACTTCATGTTGCATGAGGTAATACCTAGAACTGCCCCACCTTTTCATATTTTTTTTCATAAAACAGTAAATATTAAGGACATTTCTTATTTTTATTTTCTACTTGTATTGGACTACATCACTAGCAATTCATGCACATATAACTCTTTCTGTCTTGAGATTACTTATAGGGTTTCATCTTTGAAAATTGAACATGAGGTCTATATTCACCCACGGACACACAGACACACGGGGTAAAGAAGCATCCAAGTAAAAACTTAAGCAAAAGGGTGACATTGAAAGGCTGGTGCACAATCTCACACGCCAGCAATTACCCAGTGTGGCTGAATGAAGGAAGTAGCGTTCCTCAGTAGCTATTGTTAATGGAGATAAAAATGAGACACAAAAAAGGATAGGAGGTGGGACATTAAGCGAAAGAACTAAATGGCTAATAAAGGGTGAGTTGTAAATATCAAAGAGAAATGTTCTGAGACATGCTAAATCCATTTTTTTTTTGTAATTCTATGGTCAGGTTGTGTATTGTGATGCCAGTATAAATTCCCTGGTCTCAGAAATGTAAAACAGAATACTACATGGAAATTATTTTAATGACAGAGCAGCAATTGTCTATTTGTTTCTCATGCAAAAGGTCTTGCCAGACTGAGTTTACAGAATAGATCTTAGATGCAAAAAAAGGGACACAGTTTTTAAAGACCCAAACACTAAAACCACTTACAAAGTTCGTTAGTGCTAAAGACTCAGGGTTCCTGCAAGGGATGGTGGACTTAGTATGTTTGCACAGGAAGGCTCAGGTGCTTAAAAGGAACAGGCTTTTCACTGGAAAAGTCTATTTGACAAGGAAAAAAAGAAAGGATGGAAGGCACAAAGGTTTGGGTAGATTGGAAACCAGAATGTTGATTAAGACAAAGCGATAGCTCCGATTTTCTGCCCCAGTTGCCCTGGCAGCCAGGAGCAGCTGCAGTAGCAGGAAAGCATTTGCTCTGCCATTCCACTCCTTCATTCCCTGAGCCAGTCAATTATCAATGATATGGAAATGCAAGGAAAATCCTGCTGGGCCCACTGCCTGACACAAGCTGGGGCCACAGGAGGGGGAAGAAGTATACACACACAGAGAATAAAACAGGTTGTCTGGTTGGCCTATAGCTGATGTTAAAATCATGGACAGATTAGAAAGGGAAGAAAAAACGATCATAAATACACAGATGCACTCTCACACTTGCTTTTTTCCCTCAGGAAGTAATCAAATTATGTAGCATTCATTCCCTGGAGACTTGCACTAACATTAACCTCACACCAATCATACATTAAAATCACCAACAGGTGAAACAAATACAGTAACGTTGATTGACAGTAGCCTGCTTCTTGACAGTAGCACCTCTCAGGATATGTTATCTGACAGGTGACAATGAGTTCTTAAAAGAGATGAATCTAAAGAAAATGGGTAAGCATAAAGATGAGAGTGATGTTTAACTGTGGTGGCCGCACGACTGAGACTATGTTTCACCAAAACAGCAGTTCTGTGAGGACCACTATTGTCATAGAACATTGTTATTTCCCAGGAACTCGTGTCATACCACACGCATATGTGGAAAGCACAATGGGTTGCAAAGCAGCTTGTAAATGTGCAGCTAAACAGAAGGCTGTAAATAGCACTGTTTGAATTGTTGCAGTTTTACATGTAGAAGGCTGTACGGATCCATATCCACTGCCTAAATGTACGTGTACATGTT